CTTAGAACGCGGTTAAGTTTGTCACGATTATAGAGCCTCGTAGGTAGTGATCTCGTTATTTATTTATTCTGTCATTTATTTTTAGTTGTACTTTTCTACTTTGTTACACCGCCGGGTCGGCGTAGTTTGTGAGCGTCAAGTGAACGCAACTGTGATTTCTAAAGTGGAATAAAAAGGGATTTAAACCCTTCTACGAGTTTGTGTAATTTACAGTTCATAGCAGTCACTACTACTGTTGCTGACAAGTTGGGGCTTCGCAACATTATAAAGTAATTGAGAGGATGCAAAAACGGTCTAGTGAAGCCGCATTGTTGGAAAAAGAGTGTGTTGGTTATAATAATATTTGATCTCAGGCCATGTAATGATGCATTAGAGGACTTTAGACGAGTTGGAAGCGCGTTTCGTATATGCAGTCCTGGAAGCTCAAAAAGGAATAACAGCGGCATTAGTTTTGAGCGTCTGGAGGTTAAATTGGTACAAGTATATTCTCAAGCAGTTGTTAAGTACATCATGTTGTGCACGCGAGGCGTTTAAAGTAGTTATGTTAAAAGCGATTCCGCCAATGAAGAACAGAACTAAGAAACTGAGTTGTATAGCAGATTTCAGTTGGAGAGCAAGGAAGTAACTAAATTGATTTTAATGGAAATTGTAATTGTTGTGTGGAAAGTAAAATACTGGAGACCTCTCTCTCTCTTAATCATAGTATTTTGAAATATGTAGGTACGGAAACACAGTTAAAAGTTTTCCTAACATAATTTAAAAAGTATTCTGCAAATCTGAAAGTTTCGTCCTAATAAGAATTTAAATACCGTATGTTCAGAAATATCACGTGCCACCGAATAAGACGCGCACCCGATTTTTTCGGTTCACCAAAAAATAAAAATGTGTCCGTGAATATGGCGCGCATATTTTCTTAAGCCCAAAAAGTAGCAAAATGTTCAAATCATCTTGATCGCTTAAGAACAAGTCTCGTTTTGTGTTTCTTTATTTCCAGTTTCCAACCAAACTACCGTACGTTACTCTGTTGTAGCGATATAGATAATGAAGAAACACATGCTTTGCTTTTTCTCGCTATATCAGTTTTTTTCTAAGCGCTGCAACTTCAGCCACCTGCAAGCAGACACTGGCTCCAGCTGAAATGCAAAAAACAACCGCCTCCTCCGCTTTTGTCTTGAAACCTGGTTTATGTACCGGAATTCCTTCCTCCTTATAAGCTGAGCTCCAGTCCAATGTTATGACTAAGAAGCCAATTTCGGCAAAAACTATTCAGAGAATAAAAGTTTGGTGAAAGTACCGGTATATCCTCTACAAAATTCCCTGGCCAAGATTTATTATTTGAGAGGGTACAATAACATCATATAACGTTATATTTTCTGGGGATACCGTAGCTTCAAAAAGAAATTATTTAAGCGAATCAACTTGCGTTTATCTGGCCTATATTTCTTTGTTTCTCGTAAGGCGCGCACCTCGATTTTTCCGATTAAAATTATAAAAAAAAAAAGAACCTGCGCATGGTACATACGGCAACTGATGTTATATTAATGCCGTCCTAACTCTTTTTCCTGTTACAACGTATGGAAGATCAGTTATTTTCTCGAACTGCATTTTCCAGCTCTACGACATAGAGATATGAAAATAATTTCACAAAGACAGAATTTTCTGCAAAATTCATTTCAAACAACTTTCGGAATGAAGATATTTTAAATTACGAGCGTAACGAGAGTGTTGCCATGACTTGACGAGTTTGCATGTGAGTTACTTGTCAACTTGAGGTTGCAGGTAGCTGTCGCGATCATTCCCCAGCCAGATAGCCTTACTAAACTCTGCTATGAAAATTTTGCGATTATTAACTTATATACAACACTAGGTAAACTTGAGAAAACCGAAATCGTTGAATAGCTCGCTTCAGATGGCGTAGAAATAAAAGAGTAGAAGAATGCGAATGGAGCATCAGCAAGCGAGTTTGGGATACGGGCAAAATGTACGATTTGTTTCGAAATACAGATAATGCACCCAAAATGGTGACGCGAAGGAAGGAAGGTGGAGTTCCAAAAGTAAACATGTTTGTGCGAAGAAGAGTAAAACGAAAATTTAAACTGAAGAAGGAGGCGAGGCGAGAGGTCATTACGTCGAAGATCAGACAGCTGAAGAAAGAGCAATGGACGGTGCTAGAAAGTGCAACCTTTAATATGAAGATCAAAGAGGAATCTCAAAAAGGTATTCTTTTTAGTTTTGAAATAATTTCAAATTAACGTTATCTGGGGGGAACAATATTACAGTATTTGATCTCAGGCCATGTAATGATGCATTACAGTAATTTTGGACTCCTGCAGAAAGTCAGGTCCAATGTAGATTTTTAAAGACGACACAATAGCATTAGAGATGGATGAAGTGGATAAGGGGCCTGTAGCCTTGCCAGACCTTCAGTTAAAACATACCCTTGGTGGAAGAAAAGGAAAAAATCCCTGAATTTACAGCGAAGTTCGCGGGCTTATTTAATGATAAGCCGGGTTTAACACACGTAATGACAAATCAACAACGGACAATACACCTTATAGATTAAAGCCTTACAGATAATATGCAGTTAAGGAAAATAATTTAGGGACGCATTAAAGAAATGTTAGAGAGTAAGACTGTAATACTCATGCGAGTAAGGGGATGATTCAAAAATACCTAGAAGAAATGTAGAGGCAAGTAAAAGAGTTTAAAATTTAGATTTTCTGAAGGAATGTAGATTCAGAGCTGTCACGTTGGGGTTATATAAAGCGCTGTTAAGACACAGGTAGAAGCATTCTGCTTTAAATAATTGAAAAAAAGCGAATTTTCTTTATGCATTGACCTTAAAATTTGATTTTTGCAAGCATTTTAAAATAATCCCCCTTGTAAAAATTATACTGAAAAATATCTGTGAAGTAGCTAATTAGAATTTCAAGAAATTTTAATCACTTTTGTGAAGACTGTATCAGTATAAAATAGTTATTCTGAGACAAGAACGTTTAGAGCTATAATTAAATGCGAAATCACGAACAAATTTCTACTTCTCAGCTTTGATTACCCCATTTTAATTTATGATAATTATATAAGCATTCTGTTTAAGTAATTATATATAGTTATAAATTTTAAGTTGTAAATTTATATCTTTATATTTTTATTAGTATTGAGAAAATAATATGAGTTTACAGTACTTGAAGGCAATTATGTCTTTATGTTATGAATTTGAAAACTATAATTTGCTTGCTTGGGCACAACATTTCTCCGAAGCCGTCGCTTGCAGTTTTAAGAAAATTCAACCAACTCTATAAACTCCACAGGCGTATAAAATTGCCGATATTTTAGGACATTTAGGATATATTTTTAGGATAGATTACCTTTAATTTATCCTAAAAAATAGTCGATTTGGGAATTTCAAAAATAAAAAAATATTATTTTTTGAAAAAGTAAACTTTTTATAATTTTAAACAAGGCTATTTAATTTGCGCAGTAGTTTTCTAATTTGAAATTAAATTAATTAAAAATAGCGATTTATTTATCGATAATGCTGCGTACAGTACACATTATAAAATTTTGTAACGATGACGAAGAAGATATTTCATTTTTATTTTATTTGAAATGTTTAATACCTAGAATACAAAGTATAAGATCAAATACAATACCAAGGAAACTGAAGTATACGATCATAAACCAGTTAATTGTAATGATAGTGTGTTTTAATAGATGTTATATTTTTGGCATAGTCTGACATTTTAAAAATATCAGAACTGGATCCAAAACCTTCATTTTCCCAAGACTGCATAGCTTCTTTTTTTATAATCATTGCATTTAAAAGCAAGGTCAGTTTTTTTACAGTGTCCTATTTACCATAAACTAGTAGGGGTGGAAGATGATTGACGGGCACTGAACACAAATATATTTGACATAGTATCATTGATTCAGAAGAGCGATATTTTCCTTGCTATAAAGTTACTATTGATTTTAACATCTGTTAAAACTCAGTGTTCGTATTTATCTTGCTATTCAAAAAATTCGTTTGACATAAAATAAAATCAAAATAGCATGAAGACCTATAGATCATCTCAGAAAATATATTTAATATGTGTAGCACTAAAAATTATCATTAATATAAGGCAAAACAATTCCAAAAAGTAAATATTGCAGAATATAAGATGATAATAGTGATAAACAGAATTCTAAATAAAATTAAAGACTTAAAATTGATAATGTGTGATATTAAAGGTACTGGAAGATAGGCCTCAAGATCAGGAGTTTGCTAAAATTATGAGACAAAAAGATTGTAAAACTTTAATTAGCAGGGTTTTTTTTTCATTTCAGACAATAATTCAAACCAGAAGTTAACATGGTATCGAACTGTGTCCAAATTATATGGAATGAGGGCGATTGCCATATCTGCTAATGGCAACTGTTTTAGTTTTAAATATGTGTTCGTTGCAACAACTCACCTGTATCATTCCATTTCACAATGAACATTGCATCATTCTACAGCAGTTATTTTTCTGTATGTAACGCAAAAAAAGTTTGCTGACAAAATATAATAAAATTTTACTTGTATATATTAACGCATGTATTATATAAAAATTATTGCATTGTCTACTTTACTGCTGAAAATCTTGCATTCCGATCATTTAAAAAGTACTAATAATTTCTTTAATTGAAAATTAAGTTTTATAACATTTCGACTTTCTCAGTTTTCATTTGAAGAGAATAAATGAACAATAGCGCCGAGATTTATTTTTGCTGTATTATATCCAATTTAAGATTTGTTTCGTTGTCAAATGCTATTTACATAAGATAAATACTTGAAAGCTAATTACTTTTAGATATGTGATAATTAATGTAAACATAATATACATCTTGATTACCCAACTGCATATTTCTTGTTTCTTTAATCTCAAATTTTTTATGTGTTTATGCTTTTCTTGTTTTAATCATTGTTAAAAATAATTATTTTGTAACATAATGTACATTATTTATGTAAATTTTTATACAGTAATTCATAATTTAATTTTGAGAACATAAAATAAAAGAAATTACATTTGCATTGAAAAAACTCAAATTCGATTCGAAACCTCAAAATTATTTCAAAATTTGTAGTGTGTAAATATGTTTCTATGGTCTCTGTCACATATGTCATGTCATCACATATGTATGTAGAGGTAAAACGTTCAGATCAATACAAAAATTTTTAACTGTAAGAATATATTTTTCCGTAATAAATATACCAACACGACAGGTAGAATATCAGAATTTTGTAATTTCCACATATCCATCCTCATCATGTTTATATGAAACATGTAGCTGGGAATTGTTTTGGTTAAACTGCGGTACTTCTAAAAGACTTGGCAGAGAACGTGGTGGATTTCCCTCAGAGAAGCTCATTGCTTGTCGTGGAATAATATCAGATTTACCAAAACTGCTCATCGGGGAAATAGGGATGTGGCTCATAGCTCGGCGTCGAATCTCCATCTCTTTGGAATCTAGCAGATAGGAAACAATTGTTGGGCTGTCAAAACTACAGTGCATAGATATACTTGAAAAGGCTTGGGTTTTCAAAGTTTCAATTTCCATTTCGTCCGGAAGAGAGCTTTCTAGAAGGAGGGAAGAATATAAATGGAATTACATAAATCAATAGTAAGCATTTAGGGCTTATGTACTCTATTAAATTATTAAAAATTAACTTTTTGGCGTAAATTATAATAAGATTTCAGGAAATAATCTTTATTTGACATTAATCTTGCAATTATTAAAGACAGCTTGCACTTAGTGAGTTTATAATTTATTTGCATAATATATTCGTGTTAGAAAATTAGTTTCTAATCAGTCGCTAGATATAGTAACGAGATTAGGATATGAAACTAGTCTTTTAAGATAGTTTTTGTAAACTTTGTGATAGCAGGAAATTTAAATTCTTTGTACCGTTTCCTATATCATGATAAAGCTTAAGAGTGCTTCCATCTCGTTAAGGATCTGAGTAAGCCGTTTAATCAAATAGACATGTTTGCTAAAGATTTTGTGATATTCAAGCGTAGTAGATTGTAATCTATGTCATACTTCGCTACAAAATTCAAGGAAATGCAACAGATGAAATTCGAATTTTGAGAAGCTACTAAAACGAAACAAAAGTCCTAGAGAACGCTTTGGTTGCTGCATACGATGTAATGTTGTAACAGCTTTATTATATTACATTTATCGTCACTGAACGAAATCTGCAAGAATATTTAGCCATTTTCAGTATCGACAATGTATTCCTATTCATCATTAGTCTGGGCAGATTCACCCTTCTTTAAGAAGACTGCCCTTACGGAAGATATTGAGAAAGATTGCGTCGACGTCATATGAAAATTACGTGATTTAACGAGTTGAGCGACATTGTGTTCAGTGACGAGCCTCGCTTCCTTTTGAAAGCCGGTGGTCGCCGCTGAAATTCGGTAGATGAATGGCTCAGCAGACTTATCTTCATAGTGTTCTTTGACTTAACAGAGCTGTTCAGCGTAAAGTCTTGATCTGGGATACCATTAGCTTCAAAAGCTTCTGGTAGGCAATACGATAAATTAATGACACTTCGATATGCCGCTGTGGTACTGTGACCCATTGTTTTACAATATCTTCAGAGTATACTAACTACTATTTATCGGCATAATAATGCATAGCCGCACGCATCTAACATCATTAAACAATATGCGCAAGACCAGAGATAACCAGCTGCTTCCCTCTCCAACTGAGAATTTATGGGACTTTATTGGACATCGAGCGAATGTCTCTATCCGTCAGATTCAAATTGAAGATGAATTGAGAATTTTAGAATAAGATGCCCATGTTTAGAAAATTAAATTCGGGACAACCAACAATAAAGAGCATAATTCCATTCTCTGTTTAGGTATATGCCCTTATTATGTATATATCCTGTTATGTTTTCATTCTCATCAGTGCACAAAAAGAATCTAACTTTTCTAAAATAATCAGAATAGTTATTTGTTCTTATTACATTTTCTTTACTGCATTATCTTTTAACAGAAACGAGGAATAGGAACATCGATTTCCTCTTGAATCTCATATTTAATGATGATTTCATTTCTTCTAGAAGGGTTAGTCTTTCTTTAAAAAAAATTTGAAATACATACAAGTTACAGCCTTAAAAATATCGCTTTATAATTAAAATCGCCTTTACAATTTGAAAAGTGAGCTGATTCCTCTCAGCAGGCCAAACCATATTCATTAAAAGAAAACGCCTTCCTAATGATACCTATGGTATTTGGCAGTGTCAAAGGTCACACACTTCATCAAACAATCAAATGTCCCACGCTACATCATACAGCCAATGGTTCCTATAACTACCCTCGCTACAGTTATCGTTTAATCACAATGACTGTTGCAAATAGTAGTTTCCAACTGATGAAAATATAGTAAATCCATTTCCGCTATAGTGACATTTAAACGTAATGTCCTTTTTCTGTAGGATGCGAAGCATCGTTCATACGCAGTTTACGTAATTGGCCATATTAGCGTAAATTGGATTATATTTTCACGCTTGTAAAAGACAAAGCTGTTTGCCTTTTATGTGAGGATCCGATATTCGTCTTAAAAGAATTATAATATTAAACAGCATTATAGACAACAAAATATATTTAAAGCTCAAATTAGTTTCACCAGATCTAGCAGTGAAATCTATATTTTGCCTACTGTTAGTCATGGTGACTGCTAGTCAAATTATAGCCAAACAATGAAACTGTTTGATAATGGATTGAGGATTAAGAAATGTTTATTTGCTGTTGTAGGAACAGTTTTTCCTGATAAAAAAGTCCTTATTTTTAAAATTAGCTTAACAAGATTTACAACTGCAAGATGAACTGAAGACCTGTGTGAAAACATTACTACAATTTTAGGTGAACGAATTGAAAACTTGAATGGTGTTCTCTGGCCCTTGAAGAGAGATGTAGCATCGAGGACACATCCCAACTAGCAATATTATTGAGAGAAATTAATTCCAGTTTTAACGTAACTGATGAATTGAGCTCATTGATGCTAATGAGAAGAACTACATGTAAAGGCCTAATACAATGAACTAAAATTTCTGTTAGAACTTTCAGTTCCATAGTAAACGATTGTCGGCCTGTTAGCCAATGGAGCACGAGCAATAGCAAGCATGAATGTAGAACTCGCGAGAATGTTATTTAATAATATTATAAACTTGGTAGGGAGAGAAATATTTGTTAATCATTGCAGAATTCACCACAGAATATTTGCTCAAAAACTTTGTCAAATGTCAACACGCCTATAATAAAACTTATTAATTTTCTCAAATCTCGAGCAATAAATCACCGTCAATTTAAAGAATTTTTACAAGATTTGGGAAATAAATATGGTGATGTAATTTATAATACAGAAGAACGCTAATTGAGTAGAGGTGTTATGCTAAAAGAGCATATAACTAAAAACCAAAATTCAGTTGTTTGTGGAAACGAAAGAATATTCATTTCTCCACTTGAGGGATAATAAATGGGTGTGTAATTTTGCCTTTTTCCTCAGTAAAACTCAGCATCTGAATAATTTAAATCTGGAACTTCAGGAACATGTTTGATACACGTGACATGTTTAATATACATGACATAATATATTCGATATACACGATTTACATGACACGTTTTATAAAATTAAATTTTTTGAAACCAACTCAAAAATTTTAAGAAACATATATTGTCAAATAACACGTCTCATTTTCCGTACTTAAGAGAAGAAATTCCTTCAGAAATACGAAAATATGTGCAGCCGGTACAAAAATTAATAACCGAAATTGAATCGCAATTTAAAATATTTACACCTAGAAAAACATTCTTGGTTTTAATATTTCTTGCTAGCCGTTTAATATACTAGAAGTTAAAAATGGAATTAAGAGATTTACGAAACAACACTGATATGAGAAATAAATTTCAGAATATAGACACCTAAAAGTTTTAACATTACTTGACTTTCGAAACTTTTCCACGATTAGTCATGCACGCAAAGCAAATGACTCCACCTTTTAAAAGTATTTATGTTTGGAAGCAATTATTTTCTTCAATGAAAATAATTTAAAGTGACAACTGATCGAGGATAAAGGACGTTCGATGGGAAAGTTGCGTGGGAGTTACTGTGTCGTCTATTTATCAAATAGAGATGAACTGGTTGCAAAGAAGCGACGTCAAACTTCTTATTAAAATTTATTTAAGATTTTTAATAATATTAATTGTTTTATAGTATTTAAATTATATGTTTCATTTGTGCTATTTCCAGCCGGCACAGAATTTTCTAATTTATAGTTGGCCCGTTGTAAAAAAAGGTTGCTCAGCCTTGGTCTAAATCGACTTCAAATGTAACCTGTGCGGAGAAATCAAGTTCTTGGATTAATCACTGGTCCGTAAAACACATCTTGTTTTTTGCTTCTTTGTATTGCTTCATATTTTACATTACGGTTTCGGATGTTTTCCATTACTGACCAATGACAATAAAAAGCTATAATTCTAGAACAAGGTGCTTAAAAAGACAACACTAGAAGTAATTTTATTAACCGTAGTAAGTTACTGCAGTAAAAATTACTATTTGCTGAAGTTATGTTTTATTAACTTATAAGGTATTTTCTCGCTCCTTTCGGCATGACTTCGTGGTGTAACGGTAGCACACTCGGCTCGTATTCGAGAGATACAGGGTGGAGTCCCGGGAAAGGCATTGCACATTTTTCACATCTTCTGCTTTAAAATAACCTAATGACTCTACAGTAGCACCCGAACTAAAAGGAGGTGTATTATGATTCTTTACCGCCAGAATTCCCCTAACCCTCAGTCGCCCTTTAAAAGGGAAAGTATATAGGGTTATTTCTCCCTTCTTTCTGCCTCCCTTCGTGGTGTAACTATTAGCGCAATCGGTGCGTCTTCGAGAGTTCCAGTTTTGAGTCCCGGAGAGGGCATTACTCATTTTTCACGTCTCCTGCTACAAAATATCCTAAGGACTCTACAGTGGCACCCGAGCTAAAAAGGTGACGGATGATGACTTTTCACACCCCAGGATTTGCCGACTGAGTTCCTAATCCCCAGTCGCCCTTTAAAAGTGGAAGTACATAAGGTATTTTCTCCCTCCTTTCTGCGTTCCTTCGTGGTGTAACGGTTAACCTACTCGGCGCGTATTCGAGATGCCCAGATTCGTCATTTTTCACCTCTCCATAAAAAAATCTAATGTCTCTAGAAACTGCAATAAAAATTACTATTTGTATGTATTAGAACTTACAGCAATAAAATGCACTTAAATTATATCAGTCATATATAAGATTAAAAGATATGTAACTTACTGAAGAGTGCATTTATCGTTTTTAACTAATTCAGCCTTTATAAAAAACGTAGTAATAATTTGAAAGTTAAATTAACGATGGTATCCTACATCAAAGGAGATTGCTTTGAGATCTGGCCGTTTGACAGGCCTTCTGTATTGCCCTGATGCTGTAGTGTATCGTAATGGCTCCAGAATTGGAAATACTTTTCTATATACATTTCTAAACATTAAAAACATTATGCGCTTAGCATACTTTTCTTTTTATTTCGAGAATTCCTTCAAATTAAATTTTTTTTGGCCAAGTAGTTTGTATTTTTTAGATTGTAGTTACTAGCTAACAAGTACAAATCAGCTTGCTATTTAAGAACGAATGCCTAGACATTTCGCAGGGAGGGCATAAGATGGTCCGCCACTGCAATCTTGTGAGGAGTACTGGGTCGTGATCTAGAATTCTATCGATCTGTTAACATTGGTAGAATGAAGTTTTGCGCATTCTAGTTAATGAATTTCGCATGAATAGCTTTAGTAAGAAATTCTATAAATAAATCTTATTTAATCAAACTTTAATGCAACAGTAAATATGAAAACGGTAGGCGGGGAGGGAAATATTTTAGTTGCCATAGAAACATTCCGCCTTCAGTGGTTGTCATTAATTTTATCAACTCATAGGTTCCTTAGCTTCCTTAACCAAAATTTTCTTGTATCTTGTCGGTTAGCACGTTAATTAGGAGAAACCTTTAGCGGAAGGTACAAAATCGTAGTGTAGAACATCCACATACTCCACTGCCGATTTATATTTTCTTTGAGTAGTTTACTAATACACACGTATAAAGGCTGAACTAATGGCGGTATTCCGTCTAGAATAACTGTCATTTCTGTACTGCACTCATTCAACGATTTCTTTATACTATCCGTTAGATGGGATCTGAACATGTCCCAAACTAAAACACTTTCTGGATTCTTTAAGGCAACAGGACGCTTTTGTCAAACATTTTATTATCCATGATTTCACACCGTTTTCGCCCATCTCGTGAACATGAATGCAAGCACCTTTGGGAAATTACATTTCGGCATCGTCGTTCTTTTAAAAGTAACCATGAGTTTTCATTTTGTACCTTCCGCTAAGCAGGAAAGTACTACTGTGAGGTGAAATTTTTGGTGACCTGGTTGTTTTTTGTGAATCGTTTTTGTTCCCTTCACATTACTTGATTTATTGCCTATCATACCCATTGTTTCTGGAAATTCATCCATATTATCAATATGTGACACTAAATATATTTTATCCTTCCTATTTCGATAATATGCTTCTGGAAAATTTTATAAATTTTTTGTCCAAATCTTTTGGAAGCCAGCCTTTGCGAAACTTTTGTTTTCTTTCTCGTAGAACTAAATTATTCTCTTCCATAAATCAACTATACTAACTCAATGTTTTTTTAAAGCTTTCACTTTTTTGTATTATTTTTTGCCCATTTTAAGGCAAGTAAATGTACGTTATTTCTTGTTACAATTAATCTATTCTAGCGATTTTCTAGGATCCGCAACCCTTTCTTCTAAGGACATTTCACATTTCTTCTATGTATTCCTTTACACAAAGCATATTAATTCTTTGGCACATTAATTATTACTATTTCATTTTTCTTCCACTCACGTATGGAGCTTTCACCAATACAAAAATGTATACTGCAGCACAAGTTTAATTTTCTTTCAAGAATTGAAGGAATTTGTATTTGAAACCAGCACAGTGTTTGTTTCATTTGGTAGAGGCCATATTTATTATTAAAAGGAACACCAGATCAAAATCATTTCAACTAAAGCAAATGCAATTTAATAAAGCACACATATTGTTTCTCTTCCTTATCATTTGTCAAATCAGCATACCATTTTTCGAAAGTCTTCGAATGAATGACATCAAAAGATTAGAGCATCGCACATGCATCTTTCAGGTTTCTTCGTAAAGAAAAGAGTGAGCGTTATACGGATAAGATACCTAAAAATTAAAAAATGTAGTTTGATATTATAGGTGCGCGTTATGTGACGGAATCTACAGTATGTATATTTGCTGTATTATTTCTACAAAAATAATACATGGCGATAACATTTGTTGGCAACATATGAAAAGTGATACGGGAAAACAAGTTAGGTTTCAGATGAATAGCAGCTATTGTTAAAACAAAAGGCGAAAATGTAGCAAAACAATGCATATGCTTGCCAAAACGTGCTTTAAAATAGAGCGCGTAAAATCGTATGCGCGATTTTAACGACTCTAGTCACGCACATGTACGCGTCCATATTCAACACCAAAGATTTGCATTTTTTTGTTCGGAAGCTTAATTTGCATCTTTCGTTCAGCACTTCAGAAAATAGCCAAATTATGCAAATTCTCTTAATTTTAAGACCAGTGTCTTAAATATAGATAGCACACATACAATTACACAGAACTGAGTTTCATAAACTTTTATATCTTGAATGTAACACAAATTGTGAGTATCAGCAATGTCCTTCAAACCTGAAATAAAGCCTTAAATATCCTTCTGGTACTATAAATAATATCGTAGTGTAAATAATATCTTTATCCTTCAAACTTAATACAAGTCTTTGTATATACTTTTAGTTAATATACTTTTAACTAAATAAATATACTTTGTTTGTTAATATACTTTTAGTGTCAGTCAAGGAAATGTCTATTCAGTCTTCAAAAACATCACTTGAGTGCCCTTGGATTCCTGTCTTGGTTTCATTCTCTAACTTTTTACGTAATCAGTTTTGCTAGAGGTGAACTGGACCTCTGTGTTAGCTCTATATATAACCTCTGTGTTAGCTCTATATAATCCAATAGTGCCATCTCCAAACTCCAGGACTTTGTTTTAGACATTGAAGACTGATGCAGAAAGTGAAGAATCGTATACATGCCTTAAATCTAAGCTCCTGTTGGTAAAGATGCGCAGGATTCGGAAAATAGCTTTGAACAAACTCTAATTATGTGAAAAAACTGAGAACCTTGTAAATAATATAAGTCTTCTGGAGGTTATTATTAATCAAAAGCTCACATAGACTTGTATTAAGGACGCCACAGGAAAATCCTGTATTGTCGCCAACCAACGTTCTGTACTCCTAATAAATTCTTCTGGAGTGTGTCTCTCAACAAAACGAGAAGCATATACCTATGCATTATTAGGCCAGTTTTACGCTAATGCACATCCTGGGCATTAGTCTCGAAGGCAGGCTTCCACAAATTTCAATTAGTACAGACTAAGATTCTGAGAAGAATTGTAAATGCTCATTAATTGATTAGAAATGGACTGGTTCTTGAAGACTTGAAAATCGATACTATTGTTGGACCACATTACTAAACTTAAACGTTTCTTCAAAATTGGACTTAGCTGTGTCGCTGCAAATTTTTCAGAAGTTCTCAATTACCACATCATTCCAGAAGATAATTTTATTAGACCATATTCTTCTCACATGCTTAGAGATCACAACTTTGCAACCTCGCTTTGACTGCCGACGTTTACTTGTTTTCTTGCGAGGCGTGATTTTGTCTCTCGTCGCTTTCATATGACTGGCACACATGCAGTATAGGAGAGAACGGTCTCCCCATTTTTACCTCATTTTCTTGAGCGTTCTTGGAGTTTAACCTGCTAGTTCGTCAAAGTCATGTGACCTCAGAGGATTAATTTTCTTATCTAGCTTATTAAGGGGTCTTCTGGGGTCACACAAGCAACTTCATAATCCATATCCGTATCCAAATTTTAAAAAAGACGTAAAAGATGATATTCACAAAAATGCACTTAATGGACGATTCACATGTGTAAAAGGAATAATGAAGAACGCAGGTTAATTGATGTTTTGCGAATTCAGATGTGTTTAACAAAGGGAAAATAGTAATGTTTTACTTCTATATTTCTTCCTTATTCTTTCTATATTTTATTATTAATATAAGTCAAATTTGGAATAAAGTAAAACAGAAAAAGAAGCTTATGAACTAAAAAGGCTTACTTCTTCGATCATCATCAGATACTTTTCTGTGAGTCTTTCTCCACTTTCGAAGCCATAGTACATACATCAAGGCATAGAAAGTTCCACATGCAGCACTTCCGTAAGCAAAGTATTGGAAGGTATGTCGAAATCCGAAGTTTTGCACCAGAAATCCCCCAAGAAGAGAACCAAAAGCACGACCTTCAGTAAAAAAGGTATTTTAAATAAATCTGTTGTTTGCTCCTCTTCCTGAACTCTAATAATAAAACAAAGTCATCGTTAAATGTCAGAAAAGTTAACACACAAAAAATGTAACTTAAATTTTCAAAATAATGAATAAACGTTGTAAAATGTTTAAATTCTGAAGAGACATTCCTTAAAATATATTCTGATTTTAAAGTAAATTTGCTCTTCTATATAAATTAAAATGCAGGCAATTAATCTTTTGCATTTTGCTTGAATCTACCAAAAAGATGAATAAACCAAAAAGATGAAAAGTTTTAAAATCGTAACCTCTGACTTTCTCATAGAATGATTTGAAATCTGTCCTAGCTTTAATGCGTCATTTTCAAAAATAAAATTAATATCTGATATCTTAAATATTCGATTGAAAATAGCTAAGGATGGTCAAAAAATATATATATTAATAAAACAGAAAGTAAAATCTTAAGTTAAACATTTTACAGAGAATCATTAGCTATGGAGAAAAGAGCTTATGTTAGTAATTCTACGTAAATTCTAATTTTAAAACTATTTAGAATTGAACTTCAGAAAACTATGCATTATTCGCTAAAATGATTTAAATATCTGTGAAGTTTTAATTGAAAGCCTCTAGTCAATGAATGAGACTCTTTTAAATTCTTGCATGTTCCGTTTAAGCTTTTGCTGCTATTTTGAATCATATTGGTTTAAGGCATTTGAATAAGCTGAGATTAGCCATATTTATCCACATATCCCCCTTCCCATGTTTTTCCTAATTTCAGCTGTTGAATATCGAAAGGTTAAGTTATTCGGATATGACAAAGCACTCTAGGGTAGCGGTTCTCAAACTGTGGTACATGTACCACTAGTGGTACATTACAATATTTTTAGTGATCCAATTGTTACAGAAAAGAATTAAATGAATGTTAAAAATGAATGCAAATTGCGCCCTCTTTAACATTTTGCTTTAATCATTAACATTCAGAAACACATATATTTTAAGTTTTTGACTTTTGCATCTCCAGCTTTAATGTTTAAATGACGACTTTTCTAAGAGCTTCATACAATTTCCCGGCGTTAGGATTTCCAAGAACAGTAGCGACGCACCAGTATACTCGTAGTATACCTATTTATATTTTATTGTAATGTCAAAGTTTCATTTACGAATATAATTAAATAATATAAGTTTAAAGGGTTTTATTCTTACACTGTATTTAAGAAACATCATTTTTTAATGGCGAAATGCTTTTATGGTGGTACACATATTTTTGTTTCAGATTTATGTGCTACAAAATTTGAAAAGTTTGAGAACCCCTGCTCCAGGGCTATCTACCTTCGTGGAAAACTTTCTTCTGGAAACTGGCTAATAATCTCTTTATATCTGGGGAAAACCACGAAAGCTAAATGTGCAGCCAGGCCGTTTGCCTGGTTTCGAAGGCAGGTTAAACTTTCAGCATCTGAAAGACTTAACAACTTGGCCACAATTTATTCCGACTATCAAAAGGAAAAAATAATATATTGTATACAATGTTTGACTAAAAAGGTCTTCTAAACTTGAATTTTCAATATTTTTTATAAGAAAATTATATGAATCTACTTGTCTAGAAATACATAATAGTAAATAATAGTAGTTGCAAGTATTTTATAGATAGGGAGATAAAAATTGTAAAAAAATTAAATGATTTGGTAATACAGTACTTGGTGACTTTCAAAATTTTCAAAATTCAGTTTTAAAAATTTGGAAGTCGCCAAGCCGATAGATTCACGGAGCTAAAATATAAAATAATGTATGAAGTGATAAAAAAACGAAACAAATATTTTGGCTACCATCACACAATAATTTAAAATGAAAGGCTAAATTAAATTTAATCTTTGAAAAATTAGATCAGAATACAAGAAATTCTTGAAATGAAATCCTTTTACTGTGGAAATTTCTCTCCTGTTGTAATAATTTTAGGGGAAGTCAAAAGAATGATAATAAATTCATTGTTTATTTTTGATTCATTGACTTTTTCTGATTGGAGCATCGGTGGCGATGAAACTATTGAACATGTAATTCTTCTGTGTTCTAAATTTGACAGTGATCTTAAAACTGGATATTAATATTAACTTTCCTCCTGATTTTTCATCAGTTTATTTCCGAGAGAAGAGCCTCTGACTAGTTCTGTAAGTTCATTGTAAATTATTGACTGCTGACTGAATGCTGATTATGGACTGCTGAGTTTTATTTCCGAGAAAAGAGACTTTGATTATTCTATAAATTCATTGTAAATTATTGACTGCTGATCGAACGTATAACACAGATGAGGTGCAGTAAGAAAACTAAATTAACAATAATCTGTTTTACACTAGTTGCAACTAGCTAACTGATTGCATTAAAAAGTTTCAGAAACATTAAGTTGCCGGCGGTTGAGCGGTAAGAACTATCTGTATTCAGAGGACACTGAACACTGTCTGAGGCGGTCTTGGGAGAGCAACTCGACTTCTTCCTTCTCAAACACTCCAGGACTTGTAAATAGCAATGCTTTGCGAGGTGGGATCTGTTGCCTCAGGGCCTCATAAATAGCTTCATTTGAATTATGGAGTCCCATTGTGAGAGCTGTATTACAGATGAGTCCATTTTCCCTAAAAAAACTTCTTTTTTGGTCACTCTTACAACCTTTACTTTAGACTTCCTTGCACCAATGAGCTTTATACATATCTTGCATATACCCTGATTATTTTATGCTGTTTATTGTATTGTATGAACCTATTTTTTTTTCAAATTTCATTAAAATATGCCCACCAGTTCTGGAGATAATCAACTTTATATGAAATTCTCTTAATATTTAACACCATTGCAGTACTTATACAAAATAGTTCAGTGTGCGCAAGGGATCGATCAGCTTGTTATCTAAATTTAAATCCAGTTGGCCATGTATGGTAGACTTTAAGAAAGCATGTTACTATATTTAAGCTGCTATACAATCGAAATAGTTTACATCCAAGTATTTTATGCTATAAACTTCCCAATAAAGAAGTACTGGCTGTTATTGATATGTTTTGAAATGCCAAGGAACATCCCTCTTGGTCCTGCACTAAGAGGAGGCCGCATTTCATTTCAATATACTTTAGCAATAACGTTATCGTACCTCGTTTGGAACAAATTCCCCCATAAGCTAATTTTTCAATGAAAACTTTTTCGGGTATAAAATATTTTTATACCGTGCTGAAGTTCATTATTGAAATTCTTCATATAATCTTCTCTAACCATACTTTTCTGAATTTCCTTAATTTACGGGAAAGAGACGAAATTTTTCGAATTCATTGGAATCCGCAGTTTTTCAGTTTTAAACTTTTTGACTTAACTACATTCGTTTTATTGCTCTCAATCGCAATACTAATATCTTCTTAAATGGTACGGGACATTTCTACTGGTCCTGCATTACTGTAAGAGGAGACTATATTTCTTATGTTTAGCAATACCATTATCATAACTGCCTTTGAGGCAAGTTTTCCTATAAGTTAATTTTTCAATACAAAATGTCAGTACGAATGGAAGCGCATAACAAATACATAATTTTTCCAGAATTCATCAAAATCCTTCATGTAGTCTTTTTCCATCTACACTTTTCAGCCTTTTTTTTAATTTAGGAAAAAGACTTTAATTTTTTTGTTTCATTAGAATCCGCAGTTTGTTTTTCTTAAAACTTCATGAGCTCAGGAACTACTACATCAACCTCACTGCTACATCTGTTTAACAAAATCTATTTTTGGTGCCTACAGAAAGATATGAATTGGGATTGGATTATTCAGTTACGGCAAAGCACACGAGGGCTATCTGCCTAAGGAAGGTGCTTGTGGAGGACTTTCAGGAAAAGTGCTCTAACACGTACACATGGGAAACCTCGAAAACGCCCATCAGCAGCCGTTTCGGGAGCGACATCGACCGAACTACCAGTGTTCAGCGTCTTTACCGTTCGGCCGCTGGTGAGCCCAGATATGAATTAAGAAAAATGCAACTTCTTCGGCTGCCCAAAAACGCTTATGTATGACAAGAGAGCAGACAAGAATTTCTGAAAAAAAACTGTATTATTTTCTGAAGTTCTTTAGTCAAACCTTAAAAAGAAATCTTAAAAAAGATGAAACATTTCTATTAGTCAGAAAATGTTGAAATCCTTGAAAATAAGTAGCTTGAAAAACCTAACTCCTAACGGTAATTTTATTAATTTTAACGTACGTTCACTCATATATTAGCAAGGAATTGAACGCTTCAAAACTTCATAGACCCATTCAACGACTCTAGAGTTTTAGGTATGGCTGTTAAGAGGAAGCTAAATTGTAAAAAAATATAAATATTGCCTTTAGAGAAAATCTCTCAACTTCTTTTGTCTCTGATTATAATTATGTATTGACTCTTTGTTCTTCCTCATCTATCAAAAAGAAATGCCGTAAACGTTATTCAACTTAGCAGTAAAATCGCAGACGATGTCCCTGTAACTTGCTATACTGATGGCAGTAAAATTTATAGTTTAAGTTGGTTTTGCTTTTGTTGTCTTCAGGAATGGTCTTAAATCTGAGCACTTTCAATTTAGAACTCAAATGTACTATTTTCAATGCTAAGTTTTTATGTTTAAATTTCGCCATTAAATGGCTCACTGGACAAAGTAGTGCTGTTTTAGACTGTTTCATATAACCAGTTTAAGTTAATTTTACGTCCTTTCCTATAAGCCTTCATTCCCCTAATTGTCAATG